TATAAAGAAAGCAGAGAATTCTGAGAGAACCATGTACGAGGGTCTGCAAAGAAATGTCCACATTACCTACGCCTGCTGGCAGTTTTCATCGGGACTAGGGTTTCCTTGTAAGTAGATGGGACACAATAAACTGGCAGATGATCTGACTTTCCCATTAGGCAGGCATGTTACCGGTGCCAAACAAAAGGACAACCTTGACTTGCCCTTATGTGGAAGCAGCTCCGTGAAAGACTTAGAAAACAGTTGAGTTTTTCTACCTGGCCAAGTGCATTACACGGCGAGAAAGAGACGGTCGGTTTGCGTCTCCCCGTTGCCAGGCAACTGTCCTTAGATGCACCGGACTTACTAATCAGAGAAGGCCACGGGCCCTACGTCTGAAACCCTGAAATACCAACTCGTTCCTGCTCTCTAGCAATCAATTGAGGAAAAATGATCTACGGTTCTTCGCTCTCCAGGCTGCTCGTCAGCGGCTATCTGGGATCACAGCTATTCCCCACCTCGCCTGCGATAGAGCCTTACATTAAAACTCCCATAGACTGTAATTATATACTGCAGATGAGGTCTGGGAATGCACACAACTCTGGGATTACCTTGATGAGTTCTTTTTAATATGAAAAAGCAGGAAAATGATATCGCTGAAATTCAGAGATCACAGAAGGGAGGGGCCAGGGGGATGTAGAGCGGAAATAAATGAGAAATAGTCTATTAATGGATTCAAAGAAATAAACTTGTTATGCTTTTCATCTTCTTGCTAATTAAAGGAAAGTTGTACTAGTAGATTTGTTCTTTTAAAATTGTGTGTCGTCCGATTGTTCTGCTGAACTTTTAGTTTCAGTGATCGGAATTGATATGCCGATTGGGAATTCTGGCATGAAGGGCGACATTTGTTAATTCCTCACAAATGTCCCCCAGCCTGGCTAAAGCTGCCAAACACCTATAGATTATCTGCAGATTTTCTATGGCCAGATGCAAAAAGTGCAACAGATTCCTCCATCTACGCTAAACTGTGGGGATGGACGAATTTCCCGCTGGTTCAAGCTTCAGTATCTTGCTGGTCAGCCCTGCTGGCTGTCAAAATACCTGAACAATCTGATTGGATGCGGGCATTGTTCAGGTATTTTGAGAGCCAGCGGGGCCGACTAGCAAGATACTGAAGCTTGGCCCAGCGGGAGATTCCTCCATCCACACAGTTTAGTGTAGATGGAGGAATCTGTTGCACTTTTTCCATCTGACCATAGAAAATCTGCAGATAATCTATAGCTGATGGCCAGCTTTAGGCTTCAACACTCAATAAAGCAAATATGGCCATCGGTTTGGAACTAGCAAAGAGTAAAAGTTGCACATGGGCAGGGCACTATACAAAATAGTACCAAAAGGGGGTCTACAGATCAATTTCAAACTAGCCAGCCAAAAGAAAAAAACAAATCTGTTGAACTTCTCAGGTTAAAAACAGGGGTATTAGTTGCATATATTTGCAAATACAAATGGAAGCCACACTGCCACGTCAAGGCACCTCTGATATGTGTGGTCCTTAACATTATTTGTGTTTCCCAGCTTTGGGACATATATTGCAATGCGCAAACAAAAGGCAGCCATATCTTCCTAAAGGTACATAATTTTCTTGATTATTTAAGTTAAGTTGTACTTCTAAAGAGTCGTCTGAATGTTCTACTGATTTGGCTTTAGTACTCTGAACTTATATGCGGATCGGGTGTTCTGATTCAAGCGCCTATCTCCGGGCTACATTTGTATTTCTCAAAAATGTCCCCAGCTTGGCTAAGACTACAGTACTTGCTTTCAGTCCAAAGTTGATACTCCCCCTTTCTTCTGTACCTTGTCTTCGCCACAAGATGTCCTCAGTCTTCTGGGTTAAAAGATGCTCAGCGTCACTCAACCCGCAAGACTGAGGACTCAAGTGTGAATGCAGGGTATCCTTATGGCACCTTTCACTCACAGCCTACTGGTGCAGAGAGTGGTGCTGGCATCATACATAACCACTGCTCTCTGCATCAGTAAGGACTACACCGCTCAGAGAATAGGTGATGAAAAGGACCCTGGGACATCATGTGGACTGGGGACTTTAAAAGGTATGGTTAATATTCTGTAGATGCATAATATAGATGCTGGCGGACCCTCCGGGGAGGGGAGAAGAAAGTGTGGAGCCCGGAGTTAGACTTTAACTCTCCAATCTGTATTCTTGGTCTGGGTCAGTGACTCCGAACATATTAAAGCCAAAGAGCCAGGCAACTAGCATTTGCAGTTGGTTGGCAATTACAGAACCTTCTGTCCTTTTACAGGGCTGGTGATTTTTTATAGGTGACCCTGTGGTGATAGTGTTTTTCTATGATGAAACTAAAGCCAGGAAGAGCACCAGGCAATTCTGATGTTTAATGACATCAGAATTGCCTGGTGAGTGTTAATGATTGTTAGTATCTTGAAGGTGCACACTGTATATAAACTCTCCAGTTGACATGTGAGGCATAGCCCACTTTCCCATGTTAGGACTCTTGCATGACTGTTTTGCAACTAGCACCAAATATGACTCAAGTTTCATAGGAAACCTCAATTTCATTTCACTCGTTAGTGCCCAGGTTTGGTAGTAATGCTATTTTCTTTTCCATAAATCATCAATTAACATTTTACTTTAAATCTCTCCCTTCTAAAACTAGATATCACTCAGATTTACCTAGCAGACACCACATATGTCTCAGGCTTTGTCACTGGCTCAGCTATTCAGTTGACATATGAAATATAACTATTGAAGCTCTGTAGACTGAACGGAGGCATTTGTGAGTAACTCAGCCCCGAAACATGAGTTATGCTTTATTACAGACCACATACCCAGCTCAGCTAAACATTGAGTTGATTAGAATCTAACTAGAATTTCACTTGAAGAGTGAACATTAATAATTGCAGCAGAGCAGGGGTGGACCAATCAATATGGAATTCAGGAGCCAATCTGTCCAATTCCGGAGCCAAAAGGGTTTTTTCTAGGAGCCAGCTCCATTGACAACAACTAGAGAAAACCTCAAAAGTTGGGTGCCAGCTGTAATGGTTAAGCAGCATTGGCGGCCTGGCTCCTGGGCTTTGTCCAGCCCTGCAGTAGAGACAATTAAAAGTTATAATTGAGCGTAGGTAGAATGCAGAGTAAAGCTGGACATACTCTGATAGAATTTCAGACAATTCATGTAATTTGGCTGAAATTGTAACTATGGTTGGCCCTGTTGACGTCACCTCCCTGACAAACTTCGATTGAAAACTCTAAAGAACCAGGTGGAAAATTGTCAGCCAACCAGTGATTGCAGCCAATCTGGCACTGTTTGGGTATTCCAAAGCCACGCTCCTGTGGCTGCTTGAATACAATAGCCGAGAGAGTAGATTTAAACTTGTTTTCTGTTGTTCAGCCAGCAGTATATGGCCAGCTCAAGTCTGACCATAGGTGGTAAGATAACTATCTGAGAACAATGACACTTGCACAGGGATGTGTGCTGTTCCGGTTGGAAGTGGCAATGATTGCCAGGCTCATCTAGCTGCATGTGCAATGTGTTGTGATACAGATCACATGTGCACAAATTAGTCTCTATTAGTCTATTTAGTCTCTTTAAAGGTGGCCATACACTGTACAACCATCGCAAGACCTTAGTCTTGCAATGGTTGTAAAGTGATTAAAAAAACGTACGATCTGCCCATCTTGGACAGGCAGATCGTACTCTCGATCATCGCAAGCCCGCCCCCCTGAGGGGCGGGCTTGCGATGACCGCAATGCTGAACGGGCAGTGTGCGCGTGCGCACACCGGCCCGTTCGGCATTTGTCTCCTTCGTTCACACTGCTCGATTTCCCGCGATTCTCGTACGAGAATCGAGCAGTGTATGGGCACCTTAAGAGGTTATGTCAGCAATATACGTCTGGTGAGTGTATTGATTGCACAGAAACACTAAGGATATCACACTAAAGCTGCCCATACACCTTACAACCATCACACTACTTTCATTGTGCGATGGTTGTAAGGTCAATAAAATTTTGTATGACCTGCCCATCTTGGACAGGCAGATCGTACTTGCAATTATCGCAAGCCCTGCCCGCTGAGGGGAGGGCTTTCCGATGATTGCAGTGCTGAGCGGGCAGTGGGGCTTTCGTCTTCCGACCACGCTACGATTTTCGGCGGGGTTTTCCAGCGTGCTAGGAAGACGAAAGTCATGCGACCATACAGTAGATGTAGTCGCACGCTGCCCATACACCTGCCGATTATCGTACGATCGCGGGATCACACGTGATTATCGTACGATAATCGGCAGGTGTATGGGCACCTATAGGCTGCCCATACACCTTGTGATCATCGGAGGACACTTTTCATCCGATGATCGAACCGTCGTACGGTGGCCCCATCCTGCCCCGATTATCGCAATGTTGGATCAGCTGTAATTAGAAGAAAGCCCCTGGACAAATTGCGGTAATCGACCGCATGTATTTTCGTCTGCACATGTGCAGTGTAGATCATACGAATTTTGACGTACGGAAACGCCACCAAACTTGTGAAATCGACCAAAGTTTTCTAACCAGCTGGTTAGACAAAAGTCGATCGATTGTACAGTATTTGCGGTTGTACACTGCCCATCAACCTTACGAATATCGGACGAAAACGCGATTGCATACGAAAATCGGCCGATATTCGTAAGGTGTATGGGCCGCTTAAGAGGTTATGTCAGCAATTTACTTCTGGTGAGTGTATTGATTGCACAGAAACACTAAGGATATCACACTAAAGGTGGCCATGCACCTTACAACCATCGCAGGACTTTCGTTGTGCGATGGTTGTAGGGTCATTAAAATTTCGTACGATCTGCCGATCTTGGACAGGCAGATCGTACTTGCGATCATCGCAAGCCCTCCCCACCGAGGGGAGGGCTTCCGGTGATTGCATTGCTGAGCGTGCAGTGTACGCTAAGAAAGCACTGTCATGTTTTTGCCCGGCTGTAATGTACATTTTTCTGTCCTGCAGACATCTAGAACTGCATTCACCTGATGGCAAGCACACAGTGGTGCTGCGAGGGATGGATCCTGCGGCGACCCAGGCCTGGTTCAGCGCCATTCATGGAGCGGTGACGGAACTTGTACCCAAGGTGATAGCCGAGGTCCAAACTCAGCTGGGAAAAAACGAAATCTCTGGAAGTCACGAAATTCGGCACATGGGCTGGCTAGCAGAAAAGGTCAGTCTCTTGTATCTTCATATTAACTGTATCTGCTCAGCTAAATGACAGCAAAATGTCCCATGTGAAGTCACTTCTTATTAAGCTTTTATATCATCATGTTCTTGCTCTGTCTGTGCATTCTATCGTCTGTGTGTCTCGAGCCTTTGACATGGTGTAGGGACAAAGGCACTGTGCTCTACTGTAAATATAACCCACCACCATACCATGAACAGAAGTACCAAATAACACTTGCCTAGCCCCTGATAATGCCCTAATAGCGAAAGACCAATTAAAGGCAGCCGAGTGAATAACCCAGCTGAAGTGAAGTGAGCCAAACGGCGTTTGGCTATTCATTTCTGGCTTGTATGGCTGATTTCACCCTTACATCGGCTAAAATGAGCCGTACATCGGCTGCCTTCGGTCAGACGAACATGCTCTGTTCAGCTGAGCCGAAGTGCAGAAGGAGTTAGACTCAGTCGATCCAACATCTGCATCGGCTGAGCCGAAGCTCGGGCAGCTCACTCGCTGCCGTTCGCCCCTATTCTCATGGGGGACGAACGGCAGTGAGTGAATAGCCGAATGCCGCCGTGAATAGCCGAATGCCGCAGCATTCGACTCGGCTATTCTGCTCGGTACCTCCGAGGTACTGAGCAGAATAGAAAATAAGTGAGAAGAATGAGACGAAAAAAAAGAGTTGCAAAATCATTTTTAAAATGTCAAAAAAATAGGAAAATTAAAAAATAAATAAATATATTTTAAAGAAAAGAAAAATAAATAATAGTGACAGCTTGCTCCGCCCAACTGTTTCCTATTGGTCGTCACCTGCCAGAATCTTCTAGCAGGTCACGGCCAATGAATAACAACTGGGCGGAGCCGGTCATGACATCATGGCCAGCTCCGCCCAGTTGCTATTGTTTAATGACAGATCAGCATTTCCAGGTCATTTGGGAACGCTGATCTGTCATTACAACTGAGAAGAGCCAGCTGTGAGATTATGGCTGGCTCCGGTGTCATTTGCGTGGAGATTGGTCGACATGCTTCGGGTATCACTATGGCTCATCCCAGCCGAAGCATATGCGTTCGGAGCCGCTCGGCTGCCTTTGGCTGCTGTATGGGCTATTGTGAATTGCAGAGGCGGCCGAAGAGAGGCGAAGGATCAGCCAAAGCTACGGCTGGATCCTTCGGCTCTTTAGTGAATAACCCCCATAATTTCTGGGGGGTTTGAAGTAACTTTCAGGCCTAAAATGTGGATTATAACGTGTGGGGAAAAAAAAAGAAAAAAAGGCCTTGGCAGCTAAAGGGTCCTTAAGGGGTCAAAGGAATGCACAGCTGCATGAAAAGGTTAAGCTTTCAATAAGCCAGTATGGTTATTCTTCAGTGACAGGTCCTCTTTAAACCATGACACTTTACTAAAGCAGAGGCCTTTCTCTGCCACCTACCGGAATTTGTCATTTCTGTGTAACGTCTCTGATGAAAGAGGCGACTTCACAGCAAGTGGCGAGCACATGAAATGGGCCGCGGTCTCCCGGGAAGTGTAATTAGCCGGCTCCTTTGAATGTGGGATTTCACTGTTAAGCTGAGCTCATCTGAAAAGGGGGTTTTTAAATCATAGAGATGTAAGAGCTGCTATATTTACAGTCGCAGACCTCATTTAATCACTGGACATGTGATCCCAGCTCTTTAGCCACAGGAGTTAATTAGCACAGCAGCTTCCTTGTGCCCTGCACTCAGTGCTGCGTATATCGCCGACATATGCTGTAGCCTAGCCGTAATTCTGTAGCAGTTTAGATAGGAAAAATCCTGTAGGCTCATGTCCATACTAGTGTCATACATCCTGTCCTGCAGGCACGCTTAGTAGAACCAAGTTGGGAAGTCAGTAGACATGGGGTAGGCAGAACTACAAATTCCACCATGCATCTGCCTCTGGGAGCCATGCCAGTTGCTTTCACAGTCTTGCTATGCCTCTTGGGGTTTGTAGTTTTGGCGTGGGGGACCAGACCTGAAGATACAGCAAGGCGTTTTTGCTTTTCAGTGTTTCTGGAGGGTGGTAAATGCAGAATGACTAATTGTAGGCTTTACATTGATGTATTGAGCGTCCCAAGTCTAACCCCATCCCATGTGCACTTTGATGCCCAAAAAAAAAAGCTTTCTTTTTAAAGAATGATTCAAGGCAAACCAGTGATGGCAATCGATGAGCTACTGATGACACCAGCAAACACTGCAGCTGTAAAGCCCAACTCTAGGCACAAAAAAACTCACATGTAGGGATTAGCTCAGGTTCGGACTGAACCTGGTCCAAAACTGAGGTCCTCTGAACACGGAAGGAGCTCCTCTGAACATGGAAGTAAGCTTCTTCTGCTGCCACCCAATCAACTGGGGCCAGGGAATTCCCTGCCCACTGCTGCAAAGAAGTAAAGGTATAGGATGCAGTGATGTCATTGACCTTATATGGCTATAGTCGGTCAAGCACATTGACCTTATAAGGCCATGTGGCCATATAAGGTCAATGATGTCAGCACCTGCATCCCGCCCCTTTGTTAATTTGCAGGTGCGGGGTAGGGAATGCCCCAGCCCACAGCAGATTGGGCGGGTGGCCACATGTCCCTTCCAGGTTCAGAGGAGCTCAGGTTTAGGGCTAGTTCACACCAGCCCAAGTGCGTTCTAGCCCGATTGGTGCCGGAACACACTGGATCGCATTGTGGCCAGGTCACTTTGTTTTGGGGCGGGAGGGGGTGTGGCTATGCATTGAAGTCAATGGCACCACAGCCACGCCCCTGGCTGCAGTGCGATCGCCCACATCAGAACGCACGGCACATGACTGCCTGCATTCCAGCCCGGTGCAGTCAGAAAAAATGCTGCATGCACTATTTTTTCTGACCGCACCAGAGCGCAGGCATTGATGTGCCACATGTTCCGGTGCGGGCGATCGCACTGCGGTCGGGG